TGCAGCTGTCTCACATTATATATATATATATATATATATATATATATATATATATATATATATATATATATATATATATATATATATATATATATATATTGTGTGTGTGTGTGATAAATGTATTTGTGTGATATAAACGAAGTAGTTAGGTGTTATGGATGGTGGTGGAGGCAGTAATTGGATGGCTTCTGGTTGACGAGTCACAATTTGCTGTCATAGGAATGGCTAAGTGGTATGTGTACTCGCCTAGCTGTGCTTGCAAGGTTGAGCATCTGCTCTTAAGCCCCGCCTTTCACCCATCTTTAATTCAATGCCGTAACTCTTTTTCCTTTATCATATTTACACTTAAAACTGCATATCGAATTGCATATTCTTTAACTTCCTCGTCTATTCTGTATAACTTATGAATGACTGAGATTGACAAGATTCTTTCTGATACAACTGTATCTCATTTGTATTTTCAATTTATAATGTCCTCTCGTTCTACTTTTCCTATATTTGAACATTGTTTTAATATCTACTTTGTCAGTGCCCCTCCCCTTATAATATCTTGCACGTCGTTATCATGTCTGCTCTACTCCTCCTTCCCTCCAGTGTAGTGAAGTCCAGTTCCCTCAGCCTTTCTTCATAACTCAGTCCCCTTTACTCAGGAACGAGCCTTGTTGCATATTTTTGGACCTTTTCAAGTTTTGTGTCATTATTCTTTAGGCAGGAGTTCCATGCCGGGGCAGCGTACTCAATCTGTCGTAGCTCAGTCGATTAAGGCAGTGTCTGGGATGCTCCCGGACGCAGGTTCGAATCCTCATCACGGCCCTTGTGGATTTGCTCAATAATAGGTCTCACAAAGAATGTATTCAGCGCTCGGAAGGGATCTTCGTCCAAATTCATGAAGCGTATGTTTAAGGTTGCTCTAAGGGTAAGGTTAAATAGGCCTAACAAGCTTATTCCCATCCCAAACAATGACAATCGATAATACCAATCATTGGGCTGTGGTGAGCCTCCACGGAGCCATCCAGAAATATAAACAAACCATTTCCACCGTAAATGAGCTTGTAGGTGCACTGATCAACCAACTGCACTGATCAATCAGCTGCACTGATCAATCAGCTGCACTGATCAATCAGCTGCACTGATCAATCAGCTGCACTGATCAATCAGCTGCACTGATCAATCAGTTGCACTGATCAATCAGCTGCACTGATCAACCAGCTGCACTGATCAATCAGTTGCACTGATCAATCAGCTGCACTGATCAATCAGTTGCACTGATCAATCAGTTGCACTGATCAATCAGTTGCACTGATCAATCAGCTGAACTGATCAATCAGCTGCACTGATCAATCAGCTGCACTGATCAATCAGCTGCACTGATCAATCAGCTGCACTGATCAATCAGCTGCACTGATCAATCAGCTGCACTGATCAATCAGCTGCACTGATCAATCAGTTGCACTGATCAATCAGCTGCACTGATCAATCAGTTGCACTGATCAATCAGTTGCACTGATCAATCAGCTGAACTGATCAATCAGCTGCACTGATCAATCAGCTGCACTGATCAATCAGCTGCACTGATCAATCAGCTGAACTGATCAACCAGCTGCACTGATCAATCAGCTGAACTGATCAATCAGCTGCACTGATCAATCAGCTGCACTGATCAATCAGCTGCACTGATCAACCAACTGCACTGATCAATCAGCTGCACTGATCAATCAGCTGAACTGATCAACCAGCTGCACTGATCAATCAGCTGCACTGATCAATCAGCTGCACTGATCAATCAGTTGCACTGATCAATCAGTTGCACTGATCAACCAACTGCACTGATCAATCAGCTGCACTGATCAACCAACTGCACTGATCAATCAGCTGCACTGATCAATCAGCTGCACTGATCAACCAACTGCACTGATCAATCAGCTGCACTGATCAATCAGCTGCACTGATCAACCAACTGCACTGATCAATCAGCTGCACTGATCAACCAACTGCACTGATCAACCAGCTGCACTGATCAATCAGCTGCACTGATCAACCAACTGCACTGATCAATCAGCTGCACTGATCAATCAGCTGCACTGATCAACCAGCTGCACTGATCAACCAACTGCACTGATCAACCAACTGCACTGATCAACGGGATGAAATAAATGAAAATGATAAGATGAAGGATTAGAATTAAGAGGTCATGCAAGGGGATCGAACCAGCGGTCCTTGAACCTCCCAAGGACCGACCAGGATGTGTTGTGATGGTCTGAGAAGAATGCAAGATACAGAAGGCATTTTGTATTCTAGCTGGCTGTATATGTATACAATTCGTGCATTACAGCAGACGTCTTGAAATATGGGGAGGGGAGGGGAGGTCCCCCCCCTATTATTTGGGGACAGGAAGCCTGTTAGGAAGGAGGGGGACCCGGTCGGCCTAGCGGACAGCACGCTGGACTTGTGATCCTGTGATCCCGGGTTCGATCCCGGGCCCCGGCAAGAAACAATGGGGCAGAGTTTCTTGCACCCTATGCCCCCTGTTACCTAGCAGTAAAATAGGTACCTGGGTGTTAGTCAGCTGCCACGGGCTGCTTCCTGGGGGTGGAGGCCTGGTCAAGGACCGGGCCGCGGGGACACTAAAAAGCCCCGAAATCATCTCAAGATAACCTCAAGATAAGTCTATTCCCGCCAAACACACACCGAAACTACGACGTTGGTACAACGTTCGAACAAGTTTTAACACCTCATAACCAGTTATAACAACCAATATAGCAAGTTGTCACAACGTTCTAATACGTCATAAGAACGTAAAGCCAAGATGTAACAACATTATAACAAGTTGTAACAAGCGCAAAATAGAGACAGTTTCGGTTTGTGTTTCCAGGGTTCAACCCTCTCCTCACCTAGGCTCTAAGTAAACTACTAAAATTGCCAATGATTCAATCCCCCACAACAGTCCCATCAACCCCATCAACCAGTCCCCCTTGACTCCCAAGTACCTATTTATACTGCTAACTGAACCGGTGCATCAGACGATAAGGAAACGTTGCCCAAACGTCCCTGTTCTACCACGGCAATCGTACCCCGGGATCTTTCGCTTGTGGACTAACTGCACCGACTATTGCGCTACAGAAAACAATTAAATCCCGTGGAAACGAGACAATGGAATGAAAGAGGGACATTTAGTAGTGATAATTACATGTCACTCAAAGAGAAGAGCGAAAATTAATTACTGTTGCATCACTATCTCAAGAAGAGGGGGGGGGGTAGGGGGGGTAGGGGGGGGGGGGGGGGGTAGTCTGACCACTCCGGACATTTCACTAAAATAAATATAAATGAGTGAATTTGGTAGCAGGAGATAATGAGGGTTGAGAAGATGAGTTGTCAGACAGCGTGAGTAAAAGTGTGAGAAAAAGGGGTAATGAGTGTGAATAAGCATAGAGTGAGTTCACCAGGAAACAGGAATGAGTGTGAGGAAAGGAGGAAGAGAGAGAGAGAGAGAGAGAGAGAGAGAGAGAGAGAGAGAGAGAGAGAGAGAGAGAGAGAGAGAGAGAGAGAGAGAGAGAGAGAGAGAGAGAGAGAGAGAGAGAGAGAGGGTAAACAGCATTCGCTCTCTGACAGTCACCAAAACTGAGTGCTTTTAGCGCGTGTTTGGTTAGTGGATGACAATTATAAAGAAATTTGTAACCTGGGGGCCAGGTTCACGAAGGTGTTACGCAAGCACTTACGAACGAGTACATCTTTCCTCAATCTTTGACGGCTTTGGTTACATTTATTAAACAGTTTACAAGCATGAAAACTTGCCAATCAACTGTTGTTATTATTATAAACGACCTCCTGGTGCTTCGGAGCTCATTAACTGTTTAATAATTGTAAACAAAGCCGCCAAAGATTGAGAAAAGATGTACAGGTTCGTAAGTGCTTCGTGAATCTGTCCTCCGGTCTCTGAAGCGGTTGGTGCTGCTGTGGATGAGTGCATGGAGTGTGGATGTTGTTGTTGTTAAAGATTCGCTACTTGGAACAAAAAGTTCCAAGTAGCACGGGATATGGTGAGCCCGCGTGGAGTTGCTGGTCCACCGTAGTGCCGTGTTTTTAAGGTCCTGCGATGCCTCGAGTGCAATTTGCCAATCAGTCAAAAAAGATGAAGATGATGGAGATTTAATAGAATAACCAATCAAGCACCTTGCTAATCAGATAATCATTCAAGCACTTTATCAATCAATAAACAAATGGTATGACCATATTATAGAACTACTAATCACTTAGCCAACTCATTGCCAATTATTAGTCAATTAATATGTAACTAAATCTCCAATCAATCGTTCAATCACCCAATGAATCAATTACTTAAGAAGTAATCCATTCAATCAATCCATCAGACAAATCAAACTTCAGTTAATGAATAGCCGATCAACTAATCAATCATTTTTCCAGTTATTAATCAGAATGTCTCATTTACATAATAATAAAGTTATTCACAATTTAAGGTCGGTAAATGAATAATTCAAAGCAGCAGCTAGTATCTATGGCGAAAAATACATTCATGTGTATATTCTATACACAGAAGTACACATGTATGAGTTCTGCCTTTGACAATAAATAACCCGCCAAACACACACCGAAACTACGACGTTGCTACAACGTTCGAACAAGTTTTAACACCACCTAACCAGTTATAACAACCAATATAGCAAGTTGTAACAACGTTCTAATACGTCATAAACACGTTAAGCCAAGATGTAACAACTTTATTACAAGTGGTAACAAGCGGAAAATAGAGACAATTTCGGTTTGTGTTTCCAGGATAACCTCCACCAATGTAACTAAACTTACGAAAAGTCGTTCACAAAACATATTACATAAATAATTGCTCTGGAAATTACTACTGAAATGTGATCTGTAGTGTTTGATGTAATTTGCAAATGTAATATTTTTTATAGGAAACTCAACATTGATCAGAACTATTTATATATAAGTCTTTTAATGGATATTAATTTTGTTTTTTTTTCCAGGGTGTTTAAACAGCCAGTGGAGGCCAGCGCAAGATAGGGAAGAGATGAATTGCATTTGCTAGAGAGATGGAGCTGTTGCTCCGACTCTTACTGAATGCAAATGAAGAGGAGGAGATGAAGGGGCTTGGTCCTGAGGGACGTGTGTGAGTGTCAGCGCCGCATCTCAAACCTGACACTTGTGTCAGCAGGAGGAAAAATCCAAGTCACGTTGATGAAATTTTTCACCTCATAAAAAGAGAAAAGTCTAAATTGCGCGCGGAAAAAGACACTGTGTGGCGAGTGACGGCGGTAACGCCTGTGTTGCTCTCAAGTCTTGAAGCGGTGTGTACGCAGACCTTTGTATTAAGAATATAATAGTAATGAGTTTAAGAAATTACTAACCCTGAAATTTTTCTTTTGTGAACACCGGCGTTGTGTGAACTGAGAAGGAGTCTTGAGTCGCAACAAGGCATGACAAGAACGACAATAGCCAAACCATCCTCAGGAGACAATACAGATGATGGAATGCTCGTCCGCGCTTCCCCCAGCCGTAATGAGTCCTGGACAATGGATGTTTCCGTCGTTAATGATGGTTCAGCGTGTGTAAGGAGCTTCTGGCAGCTGGGTAATGACAGGGAGCTCTTGTAAGGACCCTCAGACTGCTGGCTAGGAAAAGATGCTTTGCGGTGGAAGAAGCTTTCCAATGGCTTGATGCGGCAGGAAAATTAGGACTCTAATTGTTCGAACCTGTTGTTTTCCATTTCATATTAAAATGCATCTTTGAAGTCCTGTGTCGAAAATTCTGCACATGTGACATGTAGATGTATATGTAAGCGATGAACTCGTGACCATTGTTGTCTTTGGCCTTTACTTCAGCAGCTGCGACAGGTGTGTCCAGCCACTTGGCGACGGTACAGGTGAGGGAAGGAACAGTCCTGCTTGTGACCACAGGTGTACCTTCATATAGAGCATTCCCAGTTATTTGAGAATTCAGTTGATGTTTCTGCCATCTTCGGGCAGACAGCGTTGCTTCCGCCGCCTGAAGATGATCCTGAGATCGTTCGCCCTAGCGCTGTCTTCAAGCGAACCATCCCTCGGAGTTGGCTCCCTTGTTTATCTTCCATTGTCTCCCCTGGACTAAGAATAATTCAGCCTTTGCTTATCCTTCAAAGATAGGAAGAATCGTTGCTGTCGCGTCTTCGGTCCTTGCAGCGTAGGATTCCAGCGAGTCTGAGGATGGTCCTCATCTCTCTCATCCTGCTGGTGGTGGTGGCGGTGTTGGTCATCGGAGGACTTTGTCTCTGCTACTTCTTCTCCATCAGAGCGATGTGGAGGGGCGGAGGAAGGCAGCCGGTGGCCCATCCGGAGATCACCTGAGAGTTAGCTGCGTCGTCTTGGGACACCTAACGATTAGTCAACGAAGTATTGTACCATCCACCGTCTTGTGATCAGCTAAAAAGCCGCCGGTAAATGTTGAACCATATCGCTGGAACGTCAAGGCGATTGGTAAACCACAGCGAAGTTTAGTTGACATTTAGCTATAGAACTAATCCAACGTTCTGGACTTTTGAGCTAAACTATCAATGGCGCAGGGCGACGGCCCAGCCAGCAATAGTTGAGTGATGAGTGCTTCGCGACCAAATCAAATTCGTGTGCTGGAAAGTGCCACACGAAATGACACTTCGAGAGAAGGCGGCGTCGGCCGGGCGCGGGACCAGCATGCGTGACAGGGGTGACTAGCGTAGACAGGAGTCACAGACAAGGTCGAGGAACGTTAAGGTGTGAGTCCTGGTGAACGACCTTGTCTTCCAGAGTATCCTGGGGGCATGACAGTGCTGCTGGACAACAGAACATGGGGAGTCACAGTTGAGTGATGTATATGTGATTGAACACATCCAGTGCTCCAGATATGTGGGATGTTTAGACAAATAATATATAAATGTGAACGTATTTATATATGTTTATAATGAAGAAAGGTGTTCATATATATCATAGTTAATATTCCTGAGGTCAAGACTATTAAGACGCCGGAGGTCATTACCAGGGAAGAACGAGACGTCGTCGACCCGGCGGAGGTTCGACGCAGGAACGTCAATGTAATGGAGATACGTCGCTGGCCCATTGGAGCCAATGTGAATACACAACAGGAACACAACAGACATACAACGGGCCCTTGGCGCTTCGCAACGTGTACATCACGAAGAACCAACAGGAGACTCCAACAGCACCACGCATCGAGGCAAATGGACAACAGGATACGACACAAGAGGTAATAAAGTCCCCCGTTTATATTTGTTAGTTAAATTCTATGTAATTATTTTAGCTTTCTGGATTAGAGGTGGAACACAACTGGTTTTTTTATATTACTGTAAAGTGGTTTTCTGTAGTTGCAAAAAACGGCAACTTGTGTTTGCGATGCTGCAAACACAAGCATTGTTATCTTTTATCTTGTTTGGTGCAGCATAACGACTTCTACGACCTGCCACAGCAACGACTTCTACGACCTGCCACAGCAATGACTCCTACGACCTGCCACAGCAACGACTCCCTACGACCCGGCACAGCAACGACTGGTTTTTATCCCCCCCCCCTCCCTCTCTCACCTGGACCACCTGCCTCGCCTCTTATCTAAAGGAGCAGAGAGGTATTAGAGCGCGCCGAGGAAACCCAGAAAAAGCAAATCTCTAAATGGTAAAATGAATCCCCCATTTTTGTGATGATCAGAGATGCTTGTGAGCCGAGGAAGAGGCTCGAGTAGGAGTGGGCGGGCCGAGGAAGAGCTTCAAGTAGGAGTTGACACATTCTGTAATTAAGCACAAGTGGTCCCAGGAGGAGTTAGTGGTCCCAGGATGAGGTGGTGAGAAAGGTGACCACTTTCTCAATTCTTCTCTCGTTAACAACAGCCCTGACCCCGTTCTGAGCGGTAACAACCAGAGATGTTCTGATCAGTAACAGCTTCAACTCACCATCCCCCCCCGTCTCCTGATCTCCTCATCTCCTTGTCAGCATCTCTTCCCAGCTTCCGAGTCTGTGCTGAGCACGACTTAAGACATCCTGTCTTAAAATGGTTTCTTGTCACCGCCTCCAATAGTTTAGCTCTCCATGTTTCCTCGCCTCCATGCGGTTCCTTGTTTTCCCAGTCTATCCTTCCGTGATTGAAAGGTAGGTAGGTAGGTAGGTAGGTAGGTAGGTAGGTAGGTAGGTAGGTAGGTAGGTAGGTAGGTAGGTAGGTAGGGAGGTAGGTGTTAGGTAGGACCTGTGTATGAGGCAAGACCCAAAATACTCCATTGAATTTTGATCCTTTGAGATGCATAATCCCTTTCCCTCTCATGTTTAAGGCTTCTGAAGCCCTCTGATCTACTTCTTCGTGTTCCCTGGCTCTCTCTCTCTCTCTCTCTCTCTCTCTCTCTCTCTCTCTCTCTCTCTCTCTCTCTCTCTCTCTCTCTCTCTCTCTCTCTCTCTCTCTCTCTGTCAGCTGTCAACGGTGACATCCTTCATTGGGGCATTGGGGCATGTTAATTGATATACCATGTTTGCTTAATTAGAGGTTATCTTGAGATGATTTCGGAGCTTAGCGTCCCCGCGGCCCGGTCCTCGACCAGGCCTCCTTTTTGTTACACACACCCAGGAAGCAGCCCGTAGCAGCTGTCTAACTCCCAGTTATCTATTTACTACTAGGTGAACAGGGGGGGGCATCAGGGTGAAAGAAACTCTGACCATTTGTTTCCGCCTCCTCCGGGGATCGAACTCGGAACTTTAGGACTACGAATCCCGAGCGCTGGCCACACTTTTTTTTTTGTTTTGTAGTGAATAATGGAACCTAATTTTTGGTCTGTGGCGTCGCTGTCGCTCCATTTGAAATTAGAATAATCAAAACTACTTCGCGTTACCACCTTCCCTGCCCTTCATCACCTTCCCTGCCCTTCACCACCTTCCCTGCCCTTCACCACCTTCCCTACCCTTCACCACCTTACCTGCCCTTCACCACCTTCCCTGCCCTTCACCACCTTCCCTGCCCTTCACCACCTTCCCTACCCTTCACCACCCTCCCTGCCCTTCACCACCTTCCCTGCCCTTCACCACCTTCCCTGCCCTTCACCACCTTCCCTGCCCTTCACCACCTTCCCTACCCTTCACCACCTTCCCTACCCTTCACCACCTTCCCTGCCCTTCACCACCTTCCCTGCCCTTCACCACCTTCCCTGCCCTTCACCACCTTCCCTGCCCTTCACCACCTTCCCTCCCCTTCACCACCTTACCTGCCCTTCACCACCTTCCCTGCCCTTCACCACCTTCCCTGCCCTTCACCACCTTCCCTGCCCTCACCACCTTCCCTGCCCTTCACCACCTTCCCTGCCCTTCACCACCTTCCCTGCCCTTCACCACCTTCCCTGCCCTTCACCACCTTCCCTGCCCTTCACCACCTTCCCTACCCTTCACCACCTTCCCTGCCCTTCACCACCTTCCCTACCCTTCACCACCTTCCCTGCCCTTCACCACCTTCCCTACCCTTCACCACCTTCCCTACCCTTCACCACCTTCCCTACCCTTCACCACCTTCCCTGCCCTTCACCACCTTCCCTGCCCTTCATCACCTTCCCTACCTTCACCACCTTCCCTACCCTTCACCACCTTACCTGCCCTTCACCACCTTCCCTGCCCTTCACCACCTTCCCTACCCTTCACCACCTTCCCTACCCTTCACCACCTTCCCTACCCTTCACCACCTTCCCTGCCCTTCACCACCTTCCCTGCCCTTCACCACCTTCCCTACCCTTCACCACCTTCCCTACCCTACACCACCTTCCCTACCCTTCACCACGTTCCCTGCCCTTCACCACCTTCCCTACCCTTCACCACCTTCCCTACCCTTCACCACCTTCCCTACCCTTCACCACCTTCCCTACCCTTCACCACCTTCCCTACCCTTCACCACCTTCCCTACCCTTCCCCAACCTACTCTACCCTTCACCACCTTCCCTGCCCTTCACCACCTTCCCTGCCCTTCACCACCTTCCCTACCCATCACCACCTTCCCTACCCTTCACCACCTTCCCTGCCCTTCACCACCTTCCCTACCCTTCACCACCTTCCCTACCCTTCACCACCTTCCCTGCCCTTCACCACCTTCCCTACCCTTCACCACCTTCCCTACCCTTCACCACCTTCCCTGCCCTTCACCACCTTCCCTGCCCTTCACCACGTTCCCTACCCTTCACCACCTTCCCTACCCTTCACCACCTTCCCTGCCCTTCACCACCTTCCCTGCCCTTCACCACCTTCCCTACCCTTCACCACCTTCCCTGCCCTTCACCACCTTCCCTACCCTTCACCACCTTCCCTACCCTTCACCACCTTCCCTGCCCTTCACCACCTTCCCTACCCTTCACCACCTTCCCTACCCTTCACCACCTTCCCTACCCTTCACCACCTTCCCTACCCTTCACCACCTTCCCTACCCTTCACCACCTTCCCTTCATCCCTATAACCATTTTCACTAAACTCATCGTCAATAAACAACAAAAGCGAAACGTTTAATCAAGCTACTGAAAATCATATGCAAGATTAAATCCAGTGAGGAAGGAATCCAGTATTTAGCGAGACTGGAAATTAACATTGCTAGAGCATGCAAGGGGGCTCGATTCCGACCCACCTTTGACCATCCCCGGACGAAGACTATTCAGACTGCAAAGTTTGGCGAGGCTACCCACAAGCGTCTGAACCCCCAAACCTCTGAAGTGACATATTTGTTAGAGATATGGAGATTTAAACTTTAGTTCAGTCCCCCCCTCTTCCTGTTTTCTACCGGTGATCCTGGCCAGGATTAGGGATCAAAATAGTTTTTGCCTTTCTGAATAGCTTATCAGGATGGCAGGATCTGCTGTGTCCTGCCTAGTAGTTAAGGCTTCTGAGGTTGAATTACAGGCTTTGAGGGAAGGAGAGAGACAAAGACAGGCAGGCAGGCAGGCAGGCAGGCAGGCAGACAGACAGACAGACAGACAGACAGACAGACAGACAGACAGACAGACAGACAGACAGACAGACACAGACAGACAGATAGAGACAAATACAGAGAGAGAGAGTGGTTAATACCTGGTAACTAGCATCAGTAGAGCAACAATAACATGCGTCAATAACATCAAGACTGCAACTTACAAGTCTGCAAATATCCAGCTTCCAATATTAGCCTCGCTCTATTCCACATTCTGGGAAGGATATTACTATGTTATTACCTCTACCAATTCTCTCCTCTGCTCTCTATCTTCAATAATTACTTTCTCTGGCTTATCTCTTCACTTTTCTTCACTTTTCTTCCCTATTTTCCCTTGTCTAAAATGTTTGGATATATTCTCTCTTATTTTCTATATTCCTTTACTAAAAAAAATTCCCATTCTTGAATTCTTTTTTTAGTGATTGTTCCACAAATTCACTTTCTTTCCTATTCCTCTTAATGTTAGTTTAGTTTTAGTTTGTGTTCCCCGTTGTGAAACTGCAAGCAAGAGCTGTTATCCTACCTCAGCTCATCTGAAGCCTGCTCCTAGAGACTCATTTATTTCATGAGAATGTACTTTGAAACTATCACATAGGGAACTATCATATAAGGAACCTGGTGAAACTGCAAGCAAGAGCTGTAATCCTACCTCAGCTCAGTTGAAACCTACTCCTAGAGGCCCATTTATTTCATGAGCCTGTTATATGCATCAGTAGGAATAGCCTTTATTCATTAACAACATTAGGTAACAATCATATAAGGAAGAGGATGAGCCTGTAGCCAACTGTGTGCCAGAGCCTTCATGTGATCAGTTGACCTGATCTCCCGTGTATCAACCTGTTGAGTGAACAAGTTCCAGATGCGAGTCAGCTTAGGAGTGAATGATCGCTGATGGAGTGATGTTCTTGAGAAAGGCACTTCCAGCATGAGACTGTTGAAGGTTGAGAGCCTAGTGCTACGGGTGGCAACTACTGGTAGTCCACGGAGTTGGGCCAGGTGCGGAACTTTGAGGATGTTGGCCTTGTACATAACAGTAAGACCACCAACGTCACGACGGTGTTGCAGGCTCTGATGTTCAGACCGTTCCCACCAGACTTGGTCAAGACTAGAGATGAGCCTTCTTGCCCGTCTCTCCACTTTGTCCAACAGTCTGATGAATGATGGGGGGGGGGGAGCAGGCGATCCAGGAAAGAGATGCATACTCTAGATGAGAGCGAACTTGTGCTCCGTATAAGGTTCTGCAGTCTTTGCTGTCATTCCCAAGATGTCAATTTCAT